AAAGATATCACCCTGTTCGGTTTGTACCAAGAAGAAGTACATGCTCTTGGTACGATGCGTGGCAGAACATATGAAAATCATGCCACGTTCTGGGTCATCTAAATCATTGCGGCGACGAGGTATAGGACAACGAATATCATGTTGGTCACCCAAATTTTTATATGTCAAATAATTTTCCGAACAAATAAGAACTCCGGATGGGCCGTCATTGCCACCGGGAACAGATATTAGGAAATTGGCATGTTCTTCCAATGGTTCGGAATATTTTCGAACAACATGATTCAAACCCAAGTCTAATTCGTAGAAAGTTAGGGTTTGCTGGGTACGCTCCGCTGCTTCGCCTAAAAGAAATAAACAAGAAAACAATGTTTGAAATATAATTCAATCTGCAGGCATTGAACATTTTTTAATTCTAACTGAAAACATTGTTAGCCACCAATCAGTGAAGTATTTGCAAAAGTATACAATACAAATACCAATGGTTCAGAGGCCATAATTTTTATATTGCACTCAGCCAAAGCCAATTATCCGGTGGAGATCCGAAGAACGGGCATGTCTAAGGAGTGCATATATTACTTAACATTTTAAAATAAGAGTTATCTATCTTACCTGTTGGATCATTATCGGCTTCTTCATAATCAATTTCCAAACAAGCAAACATGGGGTTATCGAACCCCACATCAACGCCGACCATGTGATATGTGAATGTATTCGACTTGTGAGCCTCCAAGGGGGAGGAAATTGTCAAACGTGCTTGAGCATCTCTGTTCAAAATGTATGCAAGTTTTTGTTTTTCAACTGCCCCAATCATTACAGCACGACCCTTGGGATCAATGGCTAGATACTGGCCAGGGACTATGCGACGACATCCCGATTTACCAAATGTCTCCTGATGGACTTTGTCCAAACAGTTTTTAGTGGGATTGTATTCCAAGATGACAATACGCCCAGAATCTGAACCGACCACAATATAGTCTACAATAAAATTGAGATTTATATGGTAACTAAGATTAATGTTGAGATAGTGAACTACATTTTCGAAATTAACACAAAGAACTGTACCTCAGAGTTTCAGTTCAATATGATATGAATGATCACATCAAATGCGACGCCAAGATTTATCTAATTTTTATAGCACTTAGTCGTTTTAAAGATGACTTATTGTGATTTCGAAATATCAGACTCGAAATCTCAATAGGGATTTGTGCAAATACATCCATATTAAAAATCAAAAATAAGTACCTTTATTGCCTCCAGTTAAACGAAAAGCCATCAAAGATCTAATGCAACCAAATACTTCGGTAGACAAAATCGTATGTACTTTGCCGGTATTCGAATCTGGCCTAACCAATTCCAATGATTTGCCACGTGACACGATTACCTCCTGCTGTTTGCCACCCGAAAAGTTGCCGTGGACAGCATGTGTGATGCCCGTGGCCTTTTGTAAGGTTAAATTGTATAAATACATATTTGTCCTACAACAATAATTATGGAAAAACACATTAGGAAACAATGTTCAAGAAAGTGAGGTTATCTTATATTCTAACTACTATGTTTTAATTTATCCTGCTCTCGTAATTCCATGGTGATAGTATTGTAAATGCAGTATCACCAAACGATGCAAATGAACAGAATTTTACTATTGCACGTCAAAAAATGCGACCAAAGCGTAGTTTAATGTTCTACGACCTTGGAGATACATCGTGCCAATTTTGACAAATAATCAAGTAAATACCAGCGAAATACTTTTCTACTATATGATTCAATTACCTTTATCCTATTTTAAATACGCAGTGACAAAAAATTGGAAGGATGTTTGTAGATTAAAGTCAATTTTTTTTCTCAAATTTGGGACCGACTGTACAAATGCCATGCGCTTAATAAAACGCTACGCCATTTTGTAACTCGAGTCCAAAAACGTTCAATATTATCCAGCTGCGAAGCTCGAAGTTTCCACACTGCCGGCTAAATTAAAAATGAAAGAATGTTCAATCAGGGATACGTAAGTCGACTTTCGATTAATCGATTGTCGTTATTGAAAAGCAGTGTTGCCAGTAGTAAGGATTTTTTCAGAAAAAAGGTAATTTTTAAAGGCAGAAAAAAATTCAAAAGTAGCATGTAGATTCTTGCAGGTTCTGGAACAGAGTAAACAATTTCACAATTTTTTTGTCACGCAAATGTCAGATACCATACTAATTTGACGTTTATAGTTACGCTACACAGCAATGGTACAAACATGGTATGATTGATTGTAAAATAATTACGTGTGCAACAAATAAAATATGTTTTTAAATTGGTTTTTGCAAAATGACATTCTTTTTATCTTTAAATAGTTATTTCGTTATAACATGCTCACACATAAATTGTAAAACGCTTTATTATTCCTATTGGATATGTGTATATTTTTTAAAGAACACTCATCTAATTCAAAAGAGTACACAAACATCATTTAACACTGCCTTTACACGGTGACATTTTTTAACCATGCCATTTTTTTTTTGTTGGTAAAAGGTGTAGAGAGACAAGGATAGAAGAAAAAATGGCACGATAAGCCACCGCACAGGGTTACATGCCATTTTCTTTGCATTTCTCTTTTTGCTTCTTCTGAATTTTTTATGATTTTGACATTTCATATTTTTGATGCCTCTCTTTTATTGTGATGTGATGTTTTTAGTGATTGAATTGTATAGTGAATTATATGAAAATTAATCGGAAGTATTAAAAAGTAAAAAAAGAAAGTTAAAATAAAAGTTAATAATGCTATATTTAACACCTCAATAACTTTTTCCATCATTTCTTCTTTAGTTTCACACATTTAATTTTAAATCACTTCTTTATAAATATCTGTTACAAACAATTAGCTCTATACGAAATACTGAATAAAATAAAAAGTCAGAAAAAATGGCAAGCACTATTATCGTAAAATGCCACCGTGTAAAGGCGCGAAGATTTACGCAGAAATTTTAAAAGAGAATTGATAAAAATGCCAGCTAAAAATTGCACCATGTAAAGACAGTGTAAGTTGATTCAATGAAAATAAAAAAGGTTGGGAGATTGGGAATGGCAACACAGTTAAAAGTCTACAAATCGACTATCTGAAATATCGATTAATTGTATGCATGAATTACATACGAACTGCAACCAACTTAATCTATTTCCGGTTGTATTTCTACCACGGTAGAAGAATACAGTTAGATGCATCAACACTTGGGAACATTGATATGTCAACATTTTTAAGATGTTTTTTTTTTTTTTTTTTTTTCAAAATAAGTAGAATTTTATATGTTTTCTTATACGATGTCAATTGGAGGTTGTTATGATATGAATTTTTCAACAATTTTTAAAAAATTAAATTATTTTTTATTCAAAAATTTCAATTCCAAAATTGGTTTGACAATTCAATGTGTCGCTATGTTAATTCCGCCCATTTTCGATCTGGAAAGACCTACTTTTCTTCGAGAGTAAAGGAGAATGAAATACATCTCTCCACTCGGTGTTTGTCCATAGACAAATGAAAATATAGACAACGAAATGCTCTCACCGTTTATCTTCGAAAAAAATCGGATCAGCAGATGTCGTCCATATCGTTTCAGGGGTTTGAGTGGGAATTTTGAAGTCACTCAATTCAAAAATGTTAAAAATAACAAAAACTGTAGGATATTTGTCAGCTGAAAATTATTTCATAATAAAAGAAATATGAAAAGTACGTGATGACATCGAAAAATATGGGAATATTCCAGTGAAATTCTTGAAAAACGATAAAATGTATTTTCGAAGTCGAGTGGCTTGAACGCGTAAATGAGCATGTTGACTATGCAAAACATGATGAGAGCCACCTGGAAAAAAAGACCAAACTAACTTTTCGTTGTCTATATTTTCATTTGTCTATGGCGTAAATGAGCATGTTGACTATGCAAAACATGATGAGAGCCACCTGGAAAAAAAGACCAAACTAACTTTTCGTTGTCTATATTTTCATTTGTCTATGGTTTGTCATTCCCAGCAACAACTCTTCGAAGGAAATAAAACTGCCTATTTCTATGTTAATTTCGCCCATTTTTTGATCTAGAAAGACCTACTTTTCTTCGAGGGTTAAGGAGAATGAAATACATTCCTTACTCGTTCTTCCTCTTCCATTGGAAATTATTTTGCATAAAAAACCGAGACCCTAGGATACTGCAGACCAGATATTACACATCAGTGTCTATCAAGGACATCAATTTACTTATTGAAATACATTCCCAGACAACAACGTTTAAAATATTTGTCGGTTTAATCATAGACAAATGAAAATATAGACAACGAAATGCTCTCACCGTTTATCTTCGAAAAAAATCGAATCAGCAGATGTCGTCTATATCGTTTCAGCGGTTTGAGTGGGAATATTGAAATCAAATCTAAAACGTTAAAAATAACAAAAACTGTAGGATGTTTGTCAGTTGGAAATTGTTCCATAATAAAAGAAATGTGAAAATTACGTGATGACATCAAAAAATTCCGGAATAATCAAGTGAAATTCTTGAAAAACGATAAAATGATTTTTCGAAGTCGAGTGGGTTGAACGCGTAAATCAGCATGTTGACTCATAGACAAATGAAAATATAGACAACGAAATGCTCTCACCGTTTATCTTCGAAAAAAATCGAATCAGCAGATGTCGTCTCAGGGGTTTGAGTGGGAATATTGAAATCACTCAATTCTAAAACGTTAAAAATAACAAAAACTGTAGGATGTTTGTCAGTTGGAAATTGTTCCATAATAAAATAAATGTGAAAATTACGTGATGACATCAAAAAATTCCGGAATAATCAAGTGAAATTCTTGAAAAACGATAAAATGTGTTTTCGAAGTCGAGTGGGTTGAACGCGTAAATCAGCATGTTGACTATGCAAAACATGGATAAAAAGACAAAACTAACTTTTCGTTGTCTATATTTTCATTTGTCTATGTTATCTCCTCTTTCGTAAACTCGACTATTTTGTTCTCTGTTTATTTTTTTATACCGGCATTCTCTCTATCATATGGGACATATTTATCTGTGTGCAAACTCATTCAGTTTCATTCAGTGAATATTTCCATTAAACTACTCCACTCGACACGTGTATTTTGCAGTATAATAATAAAAATAATAAAATATTAGTTAATAACAAATTATGAGTGGACCACCAGCCAAAAAGCAAAGATTCCAAAACAAGAAGAAATTCTATCAGCCTAGTAAAAAACAGTATCTGGAAGTTGGACACAAGGGCTTTTTGGCAACATGTAACTTTAACGAAAAGGATTGTGTGAGAGAATGTTACAACATTCTGAACCAATATGCTGATGAATTGTATGGAGAGGAATCGTGTGAGGAGTTGAAGGCGAATGATCAAGTACAAGAAGATGCTAAAACGGAACAACCTGAATCCGATGATATTGCAGATGCACTACAAAAACAAATTGATGCCACACAGCAAAAGGCCAAACAGACCAAAAGACGTTTTCAAGTTGTTGATACAGGTGCAACGAACTGTGTTTTTATAAAAACAACATTAGCGGATCCCACAGCTATGACAAAACATATCGTTAAGGATATAGCAGAAACTAAAAAGCAAAAGACTCGATATCTGTTGCGCCTATTACCCGTTGAAATTGTTTGCAAGGCCAATAACAAGGATATTGTCGATAGTGCCGGTCAATTATGCGACAAATATTTCCTCAATGAGCCAACAACGTTCTCCATAGTATTCAATAAACGTTTTAACAACGACATCAGTAGAGATACGTTAATCAAAGAATTGGCAGATATCATACATGCGAAAAATGTCAAGCATAAGGTTGATTTGAAATATGCCAAAAAGTCACTTATCGTGGAAGTCATTAAAGGTCTTTGCTGCCTATCAGTGGCAGAAGATTATATGGGCATGAAGAAGTACAATTTAGTCGAATTGGGTAGACATAATGCAGACTATGATGGAAAATCTGATAAATTGCCATCGAAAGAGTCCAATGAAGACAAAAAAGAAGTGGAGGAAAAGAGTGGTAGTGATACAAAAGTTGACAACATAAAAGAGAGTTGTGATGAAACAAAAGATGAATGTGAAAATAAAAATTAGTTTCACGAAATGAAATACCTACTGTTGATGTGTTTTAATAAGTTATAAATTGTAAAAGTACATAAAAGTTCAATCTTCAGTTTAAAGCTGATTGGGTCCACATTTTATTTTTTTCTTTGCTTTTTTATTTAAATGCCTTTTTCACATGGTTTTGTTAACTTAAAAAAATAAATTTGTATTGTTCAATCAATAAATATGCACCTGACTCCATAATGTTAAAATAATAGCCATAACTTAAACATTATTAAATAAAATAATTAGTGGATAATACCATGGAATTTACAACATTCCAAGTCGCACAATTGACTACCAACACTTTAAAGAAAAGGAATTTACTCCAAATTATATAAATATGTTTGGGTAAATTATTTCGTTGGAGTCTTTTTCAAAGCAAAAATACTGTATTATTAATTTTTTCATAGGCCATAAACATTAATGCCGCTGTTAACACAGTTTGCAGTATCTTTGCCTCCATGCCACGGAAGAGTCCTTTTACACCTTGATGCTGGAATATATCCAACATCATTTTAATAACGCCAACATCTTTTTGTGCCGCAGCATGCTTGGATGTACTTGCCCCCATTTTGTTCTTTCGTTCGGTGCCTTTGCTTAGTTTGAACCAATTGCAGAGGATATGTCATGACAGTGGCAAACGCTTTCGCTATCGCTCCAATAACAAAATATCCCAGGCTGGATATTTCACTACTTCTGTTGTATTTTATGTAATTACGTTTCAGCAATTCATACATCATAAATTGCAGTGATGGATTGGAGACTAGAATTAATGACGGTATTGTTCCAGACCAGAGGCCCTTAACACCCTCCGTTTTGGCAACATAACGTAGGCCAGACAGAAGGGATTTATAATATTTATTAACTTCATCTGATGTACCGGCAACATCGCGCATACGCAATCTAGTATTTACAACCCAAAAGGGTGTTGTGCTAAAGACGTTGATGATACCAGCTACGGCACCCAGCATCAAATCTTTAAAAGCATTCTGTTGTTTTTTATCACCACCACTGCTTATCGCTTTAAGACAGTGAAATGCATAAAAATAAACAAAATTAGAAATGCATAAACTTTGCAATACGGGACCAAGACCACGGTATAATGATTGGAATCCTTCCCCTAGCACGATTTCCTTAATTACTTGCATGGTGCTTCGAGCTTCGCCATTCTTTTCGGGATCTTCAACTGAAAATAAATATTAAATTATAATTAAATAAAAAAAGTAACAAAAGTTTGAAAAAACCTCGTCCAAATCTACTATTCGCCCTTTATTAATATGCTTTAAGTAGAGGTAATGAAATGCTAAAATACAGCAATAGTATCAGCCAGCTTATTGAAGACACTACATTGTATCACGCCAAAACATGGACATTTTTCATTATTTCGCAAAGATGGTTTCAACCTCTTAAGAAATCGAAATACAAATTTATAACAAACCCATTGTCAATAGAAGTACCTCTATCGATCAAACCCTTCTATCTTTTATAGTCCGACATACAATATTTATCCATTATTTCTTCCGTCTTCTGCCAATATAACTCCTGGGTTGTATTTATACATGGATTTCTTCCGTCTTCTATCAATATAACTCCTTGATTGTATCCATTGACTTTTCATTCCTCCCCATTCCTTCGTATGAAAAAGACCTATTTATGGATTTATCTCTTTTTTAACTTGCATTTGAACTTTAGACTTTCCCAAATGTATAGGCGTAAGCCTTATCTCCTTGACGTCAAAGTTCGATTTGGTTTAAATGAATATAAACAAAAAGTGCATGTTGTGGAGAAATATTGTAATACACATATTCAATAATGGAATATACTTCGATAACAAACCATTAAAGGCAACTTTTATTGCAACAGCATTTTTTGGCTTAAATTTTTAATATGGTTACACACATGAGAAATGTGTGGGGTACTTTCCTATACAAAGCTTAAATGTTTGCTTTTTACGTATTGATTCAACTATCAATTAGCAAATATTTAACATATGTAAATATATATATAATAAAGGTACTTACGTTGCAATCTGGAACGAACTGTGTCCAATGGATAAAATGTTGACATTGCTATACATCCGCCCTGGAATGGAAAGCATTTTGAACAATAATTGTCATCATAAAACCAAAATGCATATGCATACTACTTACAGCGGCGCCAGACATGGCATGTACCCATGAATCGTATGTGAATACTTGACTTAATTTCGATGCAGCCACCATTTTTCATATAGTATGTATTTGGGCGTTGTTAAAATTTTCCAAATGTAAATATTTTCTTACAATTTATTTTTCACAGAACGACCTTTAAACCCTTTTTCCTAATACACTTCATTTACTGTTCTGTGATCGAATGGCGAATACATCCAATGGAATAGATTTGTTTAGCCTCAAATTCTAATCGTTGACCCCAGCTGATTATATATTGATTAGATAGATATGAAAAAAGTTAGAGGGTTGATTCCTTTCCGATACCGGCTTCTTCAACTTTTCGCGTCCTACTATGCCGCAACCAACTAATTTTTAACATGACATTGTATTAATGTTAATTTACGTTCTTTTGTGATGATATCTGTTGAACTTTTGCTCGTCGTGTTTTTTACATTTGATTTTTATTTATTTGTAAATCTAGTAAACAATGCAAATTAAAGTAATTGTGAATGAAGAGAGAGAGAGAGAGAAGGAGAGAACGCGAGTTGGATTTCTTTCAATTAGAATTGTTTCATTGTTTCACCAGGCATATTTACTGCGTAATTTGTAAAAAATGTTTAAAAAATATTACTTTATTTTAACTATTAACAATATTTGCACAGAAAACTAAGTAATTATTCTTTTGCCTCTCTGCTGCTTTTGCTTTGTGCAGGGTATGTTCAGTGTGTGGTTCAATGTACATAGTTGTATTAGAATAGTAGTAGAAAACTTGCAAATAACCCCTTTTCCCGTTTAGCACAGCAACCATTATGAACAGTGTTTTAAGACTTACTATTGCCGAATTTAGTAGAAACATCAGATGAAATGGATTTACATATGTGCCGTCATTTATGTGTTTCCTGGTGTATGTCAAAATTTGCCATTTTATATAGGACTCATAATATTGCTATCACACCACTTTCATATGCTTTTTTTTAATTTTCTTTGGTAACACTGTAATTATACTGAATTTTTTAGAATTACAGAACTTTTTACCGTAAATTTAAATTTATATACACACAACACTTTTGATTAAATTATATTTTAACGAAGAAAAGGCCACGCTGATATCGGCCATACATTTACACAAATTTGTTTCTGATTTTGCAAGAGATTTACAGGTGAGATGAAAAACTGCAACCAACTTCAGACTGCTGTCATTTCTATGCAACTCGTCCGACAGCTGTTAAAATTATTCCAGTGACAGCTCATTATATTGTTTACAAGCGTTCAAAAGCCTTTTGGTGAGAATTTTACAGAAAAAAGCTATTCGTGATGGAATCCAAGCGTGATGGTGTGATTCTTTATATTTGCTGGAAAACACAAGTGGCTATAGTTAGAACACTCCAACATTTAATGTGAATAAATCTTTTGTGTCTCGTACCATCGCTCGTTACCGTGATACTGGTAGCGAAACCCGACGTCAAGGAAGTCGACGGAAGAAAAGCAACATCAGCAGAAATGGCTCGGAAGTAAAGAGCGACTTGATCGAAACCCACGTCGCAGTGGTCCAAAAATGGCTCGTGAGCTGAACATATCGCAACATTCCATTCGGCAATATTGAAAATAAGCTCTGCGTAAAGCCATTGAAATTCCAAAAAGTGCAAGAACTTACACCGCAGCAGAAAGAAAATAGACTCAAAAGAGCTGAAAGTTGCTAAAAATTATACCCTGTACCCCCAAAATTGTAGACTAATCGACGTAAAGTTTTGCATTCAATTGCAAATGTTTTAAACTAAAAGTCATTTCCGGTGAAATCATAAACTCATGAAAAAATCTTAACATTGAATGTGATTTTTCAAAAAAAAAAAAAAAAAAAACTAAAATTACCCAGAAATACGGGTTCAAGATCCGGATCCACTTACCCATATAAAATGTAGGTATCGCTTATGAAAATACCTATCCAACAAGTGGTCACTTAATGGTGTTATTTAAAGCGGTTCGGAAGTTATAGTCAAATTATCGATTTTATAGACCCTGATTTTACCAAAATGATAAAATTTGTGCTAATACCTTTTCTGGGTCCAGATATTCTCTTCTGGGTATGTTCAAACCGGCTACGCGAACTGAAGTTTTCTAAATTGAACAGTTGTTGTAAGTAGCCGGCCTTCGGCGGTCATGCGACCACTTGTTGGATAGGTATAAGTTTTCAAACGATACCTATATTTCCTAAATCGGGTAAGTGGATCGGGGAAATCAATTTCCCGGAATCAGGGTAAAATAACTACCCCTGGAAAAAATTTCGAAAAATCAAAGAGTTTTTATTAAACTGAGTTGTTCCAATTGGCCACAGCATTGAGGTTTTTAGTGCTAGGATCTTATTGGATCAGATTCGGAAATGACTTCAATATTTCCAAATTGTTTTGCTGTTGTTATTTTCATGGTCAAATATCAAATACAAATTTGTTTAAATATCAACATTGACTAAAAAATACAATGTTGTCACAATTTTTACGGCGACAGTTATTCTCTAAAAACGACTTCACGTCGACTGTTATATCGACAATGATAATAGCAATCATTCATCGCCATCGACAAAAAACGACAACGACCTTATTACCATTATTATCGCCTCGACTTCATTTGCGACAAGGACTGCAACGTAATAGGGCCGATTAGCACGGTAGAGGAAAATCGTATTTGACAGTGTATTGACAAAAACGCTGAACATTTCCCTTTTTCGACCTTTTTTTTGACTCAATCCTATTTTTTTTTGCACTTAATTTGATCCAGTATTCTAGGTTCATTTTAAATGTTATGTTTTACTCATTCCAATTTTATAATTCAAATTTAGTATTACTTTGTTTCCAACGGTTTAAA